CTTACAATGCAAGCATGAGCACCTGAGTCCCCGGAACCCAATAAAAACGTCAAGTGTGGTGGCACATGCCTGTGATCCCTGTGCTGGGAGGGGTGGCGGCGGGTGCAGACTAAAAGATCCCCAGGGTAGCCTCGCCTAACTTGGTGAACTCCAGGTCAAGGAGAGATCCTGACTCAAAGGAAGTAGACAACAGTGTTCCTGAGGAGGTCCTCCACATACACAAATACACATATGCCCCAATACACCTGCATGCAATACATACACATACATATTCAAAAGAAAAAGAATACCAGGTATGGTGGTGCATCCCTTTAATGCCAGCACTTGAGAAGCAGACACAAATAGACCTTTGTGAGTTCCAGGTCAGACTGGACTACACAGTAAGTTCCAGGCCAGCCAGGGTTACAGAGTGAGACCCTGTCTCAAATAAGAGAGAGAGAGAAAAAAAAAAAAAACCCGGAAAGAATGAGATTTGGAAATACATTTGCATGGTTGGCTCTCAGTGACTCCTACTGTGGCCACAGACATTTGGAATACATTTTATTAAACAGCCCCAAACACTGTAGGGCAGTCAGGTGGGGTGGCACATGCCTTTAATCCCAGCACTCAGGAGGCAGAGGTAGATGGAACTCAGTAAGTTCGAGGCCAGCCTGGTCTACATAGTGAGTTTCAGGACAGCCAGGGCTGTAGAGAGACCCTGTCTCTAAATAAATAAATAAATATATTATATATATATATTATATATATATATATATATATATATATATAGAGAGAGAGAGAGAGAGAGAGAGAGAGAGAGAGAATGAAAGAAAGGAAGAAAGGAAGAAAGAAAGAAAGAAACCACTGTAGGGCTTCTCAGAGCTTTTTATTATCATAGTGTTCATTGAGTTAGGGACAATATAATATTACACTTTTTTCTTTTTTCTTTCTTTTTTTTTTTTTAGATAAAGTCTCAACATGTAGCTCTGGAACTCACTATGTAGACCAGGCTGGCCTCCAACTCACAGAGATCCACCCACCTCTGCCTCCCGAGGCTGGGATTAAAGGCGTTCGTGACTATGCTCTGATGATATTATGTTTTTGAAACATAGAGAATCCAAAATTATTTTCCCAAGTAGGGAGCACAGTGCGGCAGACAGAAGCTCTCCCAGAAGATGACAGCTCCCGAATAAAAGATGGAGCTCCCCCAAGCACAGCTACGGTGTGCCTCACGGACGGTAATTAAGGATGAGGTTGAGTAGAGACTGAGTAGGCCTGCGTGGTTTTCAGGGGAAGCATGATGCTTCCAGACGTCTCCAGCTGTTCTGGTGTGTTTTCAGGACTCATGTCTCCATGCTTCTGTGGTTCCCTTCAGCACAGGGCTAGCTTGGTCCCGAGCCATGCTTTTCTCTTGCCTAACCTTTCCACTCGCAGTCTCCCTGCTGCTGGTGATACTGGAGCCGTGCTGGCTCAGCTTCTCTGAGTGAAACTGAGCCCTTTGCCAGATGGGCGCGTACTGGGTAGACTGCTGCTTTCCCTCAGGTCTCTTGCAGAGCGTTTACAAGATCCAGAAGATGTTGATGGAGTTAGTCCCTGATGGGTTGTTTGGACTTGGGGGTCATGAGACCCCACCTGATCCTTTTGGCCATAAGTTGTCTTTTCTTTCATTGATTTCAGTAGCAACTTAGATGTGGCCAGCAGCAGGTAACAGCAGCAGCCATCATCTTCACTGGCATAATAAAATAAAATAAAATAAAAGCATTGTTTTTAAAGCTTTATTTTATTTTTAATTGTGTGTGTGTGTGGTATCTGTTGGGGGTGGGGTGGGGGGTTGTACACATCTGTGTGAGTGCAGTAGAGGCCAAAGGTGTTGGATCCTCCCAGAACTGGGTTTACAGGCAGTTGTGAGACTCTTGATGTGGGTGCTGGGAACTGAACTCAGCTCCTGTGGGAGAGCAGCAAGCTCTCTTAACCACTGAGCCATCGCTCCAGGTCCTTAGTTGACCCTCTTACTCACTTAACTCTGGCTTGTTCTACACAGTGGGTATCTTGAGGATGTGATGTTTTGTTTTTATACATTAATGGTTCTAACTGTATGTATTTGGTTACTTAAACCATTTTCTGTTTGTGTTTGTTGTTGTTGGCTTCTGGGGGAATAAGTTTCACGCTGTAGCCCAGGTTGGCCTGGCACTATGCTGCCGAGACAAGCCTCAAACTTGTGATAATTTTCCTGCCTGAGCTCCCGAACGCCGGGATCACAGGTGTGAGAAGTTGGCCCTGCGTGTCGTTGTTGTTGGTTTCCCTGAGACATGGTTTCTGTGTCTTTGGTAGGTTGAGATTTACCTATTTCATTTCCTGGTGCATCATCAAACCCTGTGCTAGCCCCTTTTGCCTGCCCCCTCCCCGGCTTTGTTGCAGTGTGCTAGCCCCTTTTACCTGTCCCCTCCCCGGCTTTGTTGCAGTGGGCTAGCCCCTTTTACCTGTCCCCTCCCCGGCTTTGTTGCAGTGGGCTAGCCCCTTTTACTTGCCCCCTCCCCAGCTTTGTTGCAGTGTGCTAGCCCCTTTTGCCTGCCCTCTCCCCGGCTTTGTTGCAGTGTGCTAGCCCCTTTTGCCTGCCCCCTCCCC